AAGTTCGTCTCGGCAGGCGCGAGTGTGTGAGTTACAAACAAAGCAGGCACCATGATACGGAAGCTGTTGGGTTCACTCACCAACACACTCACATAAGCAAGCAAAGCAGCAACTGCTTCAAAACGAGCACAGATGAGTGTCGTGATTGTCGGGAATGACCAGATCGGTGATGGATCACAACCGAAGACGACATTTACCAGTTACTTTTTACTTCTTTCGTCAACTTGATGGATGGTCATGGAGAGAGCTTCGACGAGCACATTGATAGGAATGTACAAAGCGTTACTACCATCAGCTGTTTGATGATGGTGATTGTGATAGGTCGCAACTCTGCTTGTTACTGCCTGACTATATTGTATTTCCTACTGTGTTACCTGACTTATAACGAATATACGTTGTATACGAGTACCCCGAATACAACGTATGACTCGTCTAATTTTGCATAGCATTTGCGATGTAAAATTAGACGAACTATACGTTGTATTTGGGGTACTCGTATACAACGTATATTCGTTAAAAGTCAGGTAACACAGTAGTATTGCTTAATCCATCATTAGGACTGAACCAAAGAAAGGAACAGCAACTTCATGCAAACGCTGAACCAGAAAGTGTTTACTCTGAAGATTGAAAAATTAACAACGAATTTTTCTTCCTCTAATCATTTTATATTTACCGTATTCGTTTATGCCAGTTCAACTTGGTATAAAATGGAATAATTTTTGACTACGTTTTGAAATGACCGTTAGCTTAACAGTTCAGCCTGCTTAATGCGAACTGTTGTTTTAAAGCGCACAAATATTTATACAAACAAGTTTTTTTGTGTTTATGAATATACTGGACATATCTAGGTTAACAGTTCAAGAGGTCCTGTCTGCATTTATCCATTAATTTCAGGATTCATTCAAAAATCTAATTGAGTAAAGAAAAAATGTAATCTTCTTTGGCTATTATGCCAAACTAGAACTTTATGGTCGTTCTCAACAGAGGAGATTAGAGGCAAAGGGGTGTAAGTGATTTTTATTGATTCTCTTCGTCGACTTTGTCTTTCGTTAATAACTCAGCGGTAAACATATTCCTTGATGCGGTTGCTATCCTGCATGACAGTTAAAAACCTCTTTAACAAACTAAATAGCAAAAATAGCGTGAAATCGGTTGGTAAAGCCGTGATTATCAACAGAGAAAGTCGATGAAGCGAATCGAGTAAAATCACTTGTACCCCTTTGCCTCTAACCCCCTCGACTTAGTGTTCTTTGAGCACTTGCACTGTTGTTAATTGAGAGCATTCTTAGCCTGCACCATTTTTGCATTCCTATACTGTGTTGCAAGCATCATATCCTATTCCCAAAGAAGTCGAGAAGATGTCCAACCCGAAATATTCTTTTACTGAACCCGAATGAGAACACAGCCACCTCTAGCATGGTCTTAATTTTAGCTGTGCTCCTTTATCCGCAAATCTAAGATACCATCAGATTTTTGGAACATATATGTTTTCTTTAGGCCTAACCAACAGATTCCAAATTGGTAACCATGCCCCCAAACTTGGTGAGTGCGGAAGCGAGAGAAGATTCCAGCTCTACATTAATGGCGGTAAACTCCAACTAGGATTAACTTTTACAAGTCCCTGTTCGTAAAATCTGCTAAATGTTAGCTTATGATTGTATTGATTAACACCAACGTCGATACCAAATCAGCCGGACATTTGGGATCGGGATTTCATCCGAGTATAATATTGTCGGTCCACTTGAAAACTGGATAATCAGACTAGCGAAAAACGATTTTTACTTGTTTGTATTCACCCAAGTGGTCCAGAATGCAGATTTAGGTGGAATGATATGTTTTGAGCCTGAAATTGAAACTTTAGACTAAAAGTTTCTTGTACAAAGTTGTTCCGTATAGTTATGCCCTCATTTTTATGACAATGAATTCTAGGGTGGTTCGTATTATCATTAAAATCAAAAATCTAACTTATTTGTTTGAATAAATTAAGGTATACATTTTTCGGCAAAGTTATAGCTAAGCTAATTTCAAGCAACTTTGTAGAAAACAACTTTTTTGTATCTCTTAAATTGGCCGATTTAGAGCTATTTTCTTGAATTGAGTTAGGGTGGCTCTAAAAAAACAGTTGTTTTGCTCTAGTTTTCTTATTTCGAATTTCTCAGCAAAGGTGTCTTGAAATAACTTTTAGATCTTAAGAAGGCGCTAATTTTCGCCGCACAAAGCTTGTCTATATCTTTCGCCGATCAAGAGTTATTGACGTTTTTATACTAAAAATATGCACTTTTAAAAAGTTAATATCTCTGGTTGGGGAAAACAAAATAAAGTTTTTCTACGGCATTTGAAAGGGCGTATGTTATTCTCAATAATATTAAAAAATTGGAGGTATGTTATTTTTTAAACTCGTATAAAATCAATTTGAATTTATTCATATTTTTTACTATATTCGGGTATATTTTTTTTATTAGAAGAGATACAGACAACAAATTTCGTTATAAAACATTCGTCTTAAAGAGTTTTAAAAGTCTCTAAAAGATGACTTTGATGAGAAATTCCAAATAAAAAAGTTATTGGCAAAAGATAGATTTCATAGGACCACTCTAATGACAAATTTAAATAAAATGTGCTAGTACATTTCTTTCGATAGTTGGACATTTAGTGTCTTGGAAGAAGTTTTCGTTCTAAAAAAATCCTTTCTTTTGGTGTTTGCAAACGTCAGGGCGGGCCTCAAATTAGGGAATTTTTAAAACTAACTTTTTTGTTTTACAAAATAAAAACATGTGTTGTTTGAAAAAGTTGTAGCTTAGTTTATTGTGAGCAACTTTGTTGAATTTTTTTTTCTATCTCTTAACGTTCTCATTTTAGAGTAATTTTTCGGAGTTGACCTAGGGTGATCCTGGAAAAAATAGTTTTTTAGCACTAACTTTTTTATTTGAAATTTCTCATGAAAGTCATCTTGTAGAGACTTTTACAACTCGTTAAGACAAATGTTTTATAACGAAATTTGTTGTCTTAAGATCTTAAAGTTATTTCAAGACACCTTTGCTGAGAAATTCGAAATAAGAAAACTAGAACAAAACAACTGTTTTTTAGAGCCACCCTAACTCAATTCAAGAAAATAGCTCTAAATCGGCCAATTTAAGAGATACAAAAAAGTTGTTTTGCAAAATGTTAGATTTTTGATTTTAATGATAATAGGAACCACCCTAGAATTCATTGTCATAAAAATGTGGACATAACTATAAGTAACAACTTTGTAGATGAGACTTTTAGTCTAAAGTTTCAATTTCAGGCTCAAAACATATCATTCCACCTAAATTTGCATTCTGGACCACTGTGCAATGATGCGCTAGTCAGTGCACTATACCTTAGGTTTAACGTATAAAACAAGTCATTTTTTTTTTATTTATTTCACGGGTCATATTTTCTAGCTTTCATCGTGAATCGACAATACTGGTTGAGGGATACCGCCATAAACATGTTTCAATGCGATAGATTGTACAAATACAACGTTGTGTAAATACAGCGCATTTTGTCAGACGTTATGTTTTACATACAGATCGAAAGTAAAATCAATTGGCCCGTGTCGGAATTTTAGGTTCTCTACTTTACCGTATACGTTAGTATACGAATGAATTGTATTGGTAGTAAAATATTTCATTTTTTATAAAACCGCTTTAAAGCAGCCAAGCTGTACTTGTACCTGTCATTGAAACTGGTATAATGCTACCAATATTTTCCGGATAAAAAGCGTACTTTCCACCGCTAGGTGGCACTCTAAAGTACATCGATTTTTTTCACTTTTCGACGCAGAGATGAGCTTCCTTTCTTTGACTGAACCCAGTCTGATGATGTAGAAACAAATAAACAAATAAACAAAATTAAACCGAGTTCGGTATTATTTCCTAAATGTGCGAGATTTAAAAAATGTCATAAAAACGAACAAAACACATAAGTGTACGCGTACAGAACGGTAGACACTGATTTGAATTCCGTAAGTTTGCCAATTTCATATAATGTAGAAATTTACATCTATTCTCATATTATTAAGCGATCAATTTGCGACCGGAGTACGGTTCCTATGTGCGACTTTATCGACAGGGAGCATACATAAGGGCGTAAACGCGAAGATCGATTCTCTTCGTCGATTTTCTCTTTAAATTGCTACAGATAAGGGAAGCTATTTTCTGAAATTTGTCCAATACAGTACTGTAACAGGTTGTTGATGGCCAATGCAACAACAAACGCACCGAGATATGTTAACCCAAGCGAGTTAATAACAAAAGAGAAAATCGAAGAAGAGAATCGATCATCCCGTTTATGCCCTTATGCATGCTCACTGCCGATATGCTGTTTAATTAAATTGTAAAACAAAATTTCAGCTAATCAGCCTAAATTGCGACAATGTCAATTATTATTTGTTAATATGTTGCATATGCGTAGGTGCAATTCTCTGTTGTTACTTTCTCAAAGGAGGGTATGCAGTGTAAAATTTTAGTAGACAACCATTATCACAAATCTGTATAGAGGAAATGGCTTTAAAGTTGGCATATGGATCTAAGATTGGGCCCATCGCTAAAAATCTGCTATTTATCAATTTTATCTAGATGAACGCGTCATTGGGACGGTACTAATGGATATTTTTGGTTGCTATTGAAAATTTAGTCCATCGCTGAATTTATGTATGGGTCCAAATTAGGGGCATTTAGGCCGACATTACATCCATTTCCCCTATATGAAAATGAATTTCTGTTTGTCTGTCTGAACCTTATATAATCGGAAACTACTGAACCGATCGGCGTGAAAATTTGTATGCAGGGGCCTAGAAAGGTTCTTATGATGGTTCGAGAACCCTCCCCCCTTGCCAGCTGGTGGCACGTAAAAAAGCGAATTGGTTAAGCAAATTGTATGAAAAAGGATTCCGTCAACTGTGTCAGGGTTTTATATTTTTTTAAGGCTTCAACGGCATTTCTCTATTGAAATAATCCCAAATCATTCAATTTAAAATATACTTTTATTAACGCTAAAATGAGAATAAATATCGATTCGTTGTAATAACTTCTTCGGCCGTAGATGAAGACTCAACATAAACTGGGCAAACAATAGTACCATAATTAAAGTCTGTCCCACATCAGACAAAAACTTAACGACACGTACGTTTCGATTCCGAGCTGCACTGGGGTTGAATAGATCCCCGTGCTGGATAAAATATGATATACACACTTAAGCATTGTATATAAAATAAAATAAGGACACTATAGAATCTTAATCTACTCCTGCTTCCGTCGCACACGCACGAAGCACTCTCGGTAAAAAACTGAGGTAGGTAGAGTTCCCACGCTTCGCTATGATATTGGTATTATGATACCGAAGCAAACTTCCAGACCAGTCTCTCTCCCTCTCTCTCTCTTTCTCTTGCATGCACTCCTACGCAGGACCGGGGCTTATTTCCCAATCGAGGCGACCTTGTCCATCGCCTTGAGGACATCGTCCTGATTAGCCAGGAACCGGATACCGCCGATCATTTTCATGTTCTCGTCAAAGTCGAAGATGAACGGAATACTGTTCGGCAGGTTGAACTTCATGATGTCGGCATCTGAAATACCTAGAGAATATCAGTTAACCGTTCGGGGCGTTTACGGCAAATTCCATTCCATACGGATTCGATTCGGGACGGACAAATACACAGAAAAGGGATAATAGAATGAAGAAAAAGAGAAGAAATGTTTGATTATTAGTACCACCACCACCATCCGAATATGGAAAAGGGTATTCAGAAGTTCAGAAGATTCACCCGTATCCAGCAGAAAGCCACTTACCTTGGATGTGTTTGACCAATCCCCGCAGACTGGTCCCGTGGGCCACCACCAGGACCTTCTTCCCGGCGCGTACCTCCGGAATGATGGTGTCGGTCCATTCCGGCACGACCCGTTGCATGGTCGTCTCGAGCGTTTCCGTCAGGGGGAAGTCCTTTTCGTTGATGTGCCGGAACTTGGGATTGTTCCGAATGGCACTGTAGTACGGGTTCTCCGCATCGATCGGCGGCGGAGGTACGTTGAAGCTACGGCGCCACACCTGGACCTGCGGTTCGCCGTAGATGTCGGCCATTTGGCGTTTGTTGAACCCGGTCAGGGCACCGTAGTGGCGTTCGTTCAGCCGCCACAGCTGATGCACCGGGATGTGGGTAAGGTTGAGCTCCTTGAGGACGACGTCCAGCGTTTGGTTGGCCCGCCGCAGACAGGACGTGAACGCCACGTCGAAGCTGAAGTTTTCGCGCTTTAGCGATGCGGCCGAGATCTCCAGGGCGTCCCATTCGCCTAGAGGAAGGAGAAGGAATATTTTTGTTCAGTTGGGTAATCGAGTTCATAAAGGGCGAACACGAAATTATTGCGACACCGAAAATGTCATGCCAATTTTCTTATAATGTTTAGAATCAAACCACAATTTTAGGGTAGTTTTATACATATATTTACTTCAAAAATCAAAAGAAAAGTTAATCGATGGAGCCTTGAGTGTAAAATTGAACGCATTTTCGCTTGATGTAACTCGTACCTCGTGATTTATGTTGACTACGTCGTCCACAATGAGGAAGAGTATGAGGGCATAATGAGGAACCTCAACAACCATTTTACGGTTACATCACTGGGAGATATCAAGAATTTTCTCAGCACCCAAGACCAGTCGATCAAACTTAATCAGAAGGCATACAGTATCCCCCGCTCATCCGACGGCTCGATAATCCGGACCCCTTTAATCCTGAAAATGTCAGATTAAAAAGTATAAACTTGCGTTTGAAAACATTGTGCTGTCAATTTTCAGATTTTTGCTGTAAGCACGCTGTCTATTTGTTTTGATTTTTATTAGCGAATCAAACCCCGATAATCCGGCCATGATTTTGTACAAGCTGTTGCTGCAATTTGGGATGGGGAGGGGCGACCCCGGCGTAGTGGTTAACATCCATACCTCTCACGCCAAAGTCACGAGTTCAAATCTCACCCCCGGACAAGTCACGAATGACCCAAGAGTGTTAAAGTGACTATAATAATAAAAAAAAAAAATTTGGGATGGATCAAGCGGAACCATCGAAGTTTCCCCTAGATCCCTAGAGGATGCAAGCCTCGACCTTTCGTCACTGGAACAACGCAAGCAAAACCATCCTGCGTTCTTCTTCTTCTTCTTTCCTTTATTTAACGTCGGTCTCTGTTCCGCAATCTAGTGCCAATCACCGACGGACATCGATTGCCATCCATTGACGGCAATCAAATGTGCAGGAAGGCAGCTTCCACACCTGCGTAGGATATCGCACTAGACTGATGCAAATTTTGATAAGAAACTGACTTGGCACAAACCTTTTGAAGTTTATATGGAAATTACTATAGGAAATCCAAACTTTTTGTTCATTGTCTTCTTACCTATTTCCATATTGCACTGTTCAAAAATTCAAAAACTATAATTATGGAAAATTTTCTCAGCTTCAACTTAGCAGAATATAGTTATTGAGCCAAACATCAAATAAAATAGTTATTAATTGTTTAAGAGATTGATAATCTTATGGCATGAACACTGTATCTTGCAGTGTGACATAGTAGCCATGATTTTTGTGCTCTATTCCAAGCGCCAGAAACACCAATGTTGCCTGCTGAACAGTTGATTGAGCATAATCGTAAGCAAGGTTGCAAATACTCATTTCAGCTAAAACAATGTTTTTTTTTTAATTATGAAATAATTGGATGCCATGACCATATTTTGAATTGGTAGGATACAAGAAGAGGTTGCAAAGAATGTGTTTTACATATTCAACCTGTTTATTTCACTTCATGAGAGTCACAATCAGCGATTTTTCACACACTCACTCACTCACTCACTCACTCAGCGATCAGAAAATCACTGATTGTGACTAATAGAAAGCAAAATTTACAGGTTTTATGTTTCAAACGCATATGTACTTTGTAACCTCTTCTTGTAAGTTACAAGTAAAACATGCCATCATACCATCTTTTGGTTTTATTATTCCGAAAAACATTATTTTAGCTGAAATGAGTATTTGCAACCTTGATCGTAAGACATCAGTGACTTGAATCATTAATAATTTTTGTTCCTTACATTATATTGAAAAGTGGTTTTGGACAAAGTTGTAGCTCAGAAAATTTGCTACGAGCTCAGTTATCATTTTTTAAAGTAGAACGATATAGTAAATTGTTAGATGGAAATGAACGAAACATTTGGTTTTCCTATAGTAATTTCCATTTAAACTTCAAATGGTTTGTGCTAAGTCAGTTTCTTATCGAATGAGTTCCCGCATAAACGATGACCATAAGGAGTGCCTAACAACCTATTCGGGTTATCATCCCAACAATATGTACGGTGGCACGATTTATGGTATCGTTCATGTATGGTGCTCGTTTATTAGGGTTCAAATTTTGCGAAACTAATCAGGACCCGATTTGGAACCGTCTGAGCATTGTGGAGCGAAAATGTCAAAATTTGCATCAGTCTAATATCGCACCCATTCAACACACATGAGCCGGGACCAAAGGCTTTACTTTCCTCCCTGGAAGACGTGACCATAGATGTTTATGCCTCAGAAAAATCCCACCGACCTCGGCTGGGATTGAACACAGACCCATTGGGGTGTTAGAAAGCAGTCACGCTTACCACTACACCACAGGCGCCGGCCCATCCTGCGTTGATTAGATACGTCCGTCCGATTTGAAATTTCTCGCGCAACACGAGAAAAGGGCCTATCATTGTTGATCGATTCTCTTCATCGATTTTCTCTTTCGCGAATAACTCGACTGCAAATGAATTTCCCATAGGATGCTGCACGCTGACGTCACGAATGAACGCGATGAGCCCCAATTCATCAGTTTGACATCTAGTGGTGGTTTGTTTACCTTTGCTTGTTAGTCAATTCAAGTGGATTTGAGGTTTTAAATAAAAAGAATTAAAAGATATGATATCCGGCTATGTTCGTTTGAAAGATATTCCTCTCCAATCTAAAACAAAATTTAATAAATTTTTTAAACTTTTTTTCTAAGTCCATGTAAACAAACCACTGCCAGATGTCAAAAAGGTGAGGTTTCCCAGACGGTGCAGCTCCCTATTAGGTTTTGCATCGTCGGGGTTAACCTCAATCTGATGACAGTTCAGTGGTACTGTTTACGTGGACTTTGTCGAGTTTTTCTTGGGTGGGTTTTCTCGATAATTGTTCAGACTGCAGTGGGATGTAAGCCACACTTCTGCAATGTACACGAGCAACATCCTTTCAACGCGCTGTTCCTCGACAATTTTCAAGTTAAAATTCGGAAATTTTAGAATTTTTTTTCGATAAAACGACTAAGTGCTTGTAAACAGTACCACTGAACTGTCAAAAAGGTTCAGCCGATTAACACTGAGTTCATTTATGACATCACGCTGCAGTACTTAGGCTGTGAACCATTTGGTGAGCTAAATTTAACTCGTGGTTAAAAGTGACACTTCGAAAGTTATTTTCTATGTTCGAAAATCCCCGTGCTGTCGATCGACCGGTTTTCAACCCACGGTTGTCAAAATTTAACTTCTTGTCTGTCAGAAGTAACCACGCTCGGATAGCAGGGTTAATCGATAACTTTCCATCTGTCAAATTTTAACCAAAAGTTAAAATAATCCACCAAATGGTTCAGAGCCTTAATTGAGTGTGTTGTTTCCGGCGCAAGCTAACATCATCTTCTGTCAAACTGTGCTGCGAGCTTAGCGAAAAATTCGTTTATAGAGATTAGTGACGTTCAAGGCACGCACACTAGCGAGAGCAACGCCGTGTAAAGTTTATTATTATTTTCTTCTGGCTAACCTAACACACTGTTCGCAGTCCGCGCCGCAAGTTACGGCCCCACCGTAGTGCTGGAGCAACCGTGTGGGACAACGCCAGCGTCGCGCGACGCTGTAAAGGCCCACTCACATTAGATCCGGATCGGACGCGTTGCGGCAAAGTGACAGCTAAATCTATTGTCTAACTGTCAAATTTACGTCACCGCAACGCCCTTAAGAGATCCCGCTACAGCAGTGAGTACAGTGCCAATTTTAAACCTTCGCATACACGCCACATATATCAAGAGCCACATGTGAAAAGGGTATAAGGTTTTTGAAAACAAACCTTTGTAGACCCTTTTCTCACCAACCGAGGGTCGCCCAAGCAAACTAACAACATCATCGAATAGGGGAAATTTTTCCCTACCCGGTGATGTTGATGGTTTGCGTTGGTGTCATATGAGTGGCGAGAAAATGGCATAAGAAGGTTTGTTTACCAAAAGCTTGTATGCCCTTTTCACACACACTTATCCAATTTTTACCGAGTTTTTGAACAGAGTTGCGACCTATCACAATCACGATCGTCAAACAGCTGATGGTAATAACGCCATAGAGGTAACTCTAAGACCAGAAGGTCCCGAAGAAACGAGCTCAACTTTTTGGCTCATCTCTGGTACTATCTTCGGTCCCAAGCTAATCGATGCACCCCTCGAATTATCTGTCAAACTTTCACAGCAAATCAAAACAAACATTGCGTAATACTAGAATTTCGACTAGAATGGGGTACGTTAATCGTTTGCTTGGAACCAATAGGCTAGTCAAGTAGTGAGCCAATTTAAAATCGTTAGTTTCGTATTGATTGTTGGTAACGCTTTGTACATTCCTATCAATGTGCTCGTCGAAGCTCTCTCCATGACCATTAGACTGATGCAAAATTTGAAATTTTCGCTCCACAGTGCTCAAACGGTTCCAAATTGGGCCCTGATTAGCCTCCCAAAATTTGAGAAACCATAATTTCGGTTCATATCTATCTCAAAATTCACCAGTTCACTCTACTTTAGAAAATAATAACTAAGCTTGTTGAAAATTTTCTCAGTTACAACTTTGTTGAAGACCACCTTTCGATCAAATTTAAGGAACAAAAATTATTAATGATTCAAGTCACTGATGTCTTATGATCATGCTCAATCAACTGTTCAGCAGGCAACATTGGTGTTTATGGCGCGTAGAATAGAGGACAAAAATCATGGCTACTATGTCACACTACAGTGTTGCCCACAATACAGTTGCTTAATCTTGCCATAAGATTATCAATCTCTTAAACAATTAATAACTATTTAATTTGACGTTTGGCTGAAGGACGATTTTCTGCAAAGTTATAGCTGATAAAAATTCCCATAAGAACAGCAATAGAATTTGTTAGCAGTACAATATGTAAAAAGGCTTGAAGACAATGAACAAAAAGTTTTGTTTTCCCATAGTAATTTCCATATAAACTTCAAATGGTTTGTGCCAAGTCAGTTTCATATCAAATGAGTTTTAACTTTCGGAGGCTAATCAGGGCCCGATTTGAAACCGCTTGAACACTGTGGAGCGAAAATTTCAAATTTTGCATCAGTCTAATGACCATCCATCAAGTTGACGAAAGAAGTAAAAAGCAACTGGCAAATGTCATCTTCGGTTGTGATCCATCACCGATCTGTTTATTTCCGACAATCACGACACTCATCTGTGCTCGTTTTGAAGCAGTTGCATATGTGTGTGTTGGTGAGTGAGCCCAACATAGAACCGTAAAATTACCCAAAATTAAGTTCTTTTCACTCATCTCCCATGTTCCGTTCAATAAGCTAATTTTCATTAAATCGCTTTGCATTTGGCTACGGCAAAAATAATTACCTACTCGTATGTATTTTCTACCCAAAATTTAGTTCAATTGACTCAAATTTGAGAATATCTCATATACTCACTAGTAGCTTATTGAAAGATAGTCATGAGAAAGTCGAATCTCTCGTTCCGTTTTTGACAACAGCAAAAAGTGAGAGTGGGATGCAAAACTCAAAATTAAGTAAAAAGAACTTAATTTTAGGGTAATTTTTTTTCTCTGTGAACAGCTTCCGTCGAATGTTGCCTGCTTTGTTTGTAACTCACACAGTTGCGCCTGCCGAGACGAACTTGGAATGCGTAGGCATTGTTTTCATTTTCTTCTGTCGTTTCGCTTTTTCTCATGATCGTAGAAGTCTTCACTGTTTTCGTTGTGCTTTTCATCATCAGCAGCGAGTGTAACGTTTTGCTTGTGAGCAACGACCATTACTAGTGGTTGTTGTCAAGGGGGGGAGGTGGCTGTCAAATACGAACAATCGTCGCCTACCTCGGATAACTGGTTCCAAACGTAAACAAGCCATAAGAAACCTACAGCGTTTGTTTACGTTTGGAACCAGTTTCATACAAGATGATCAGTAGGCTGATTTGACAGCACGTCCCCCCCCAGGTTGTTGTTTGCCATGGCTCTACCTCTCCCTGCGTGACAAAACGTTCTGTCAGCGATAGTCGGTTGATGCGTAGACGAGTGTCACGTGAGTGTCATGATATTTTGCATCACTGTTTTTGAACTGCGGAACTGTTCGGTAAAATTTAGAAAATCTGTGAAAAATTCAAAGTTGAAAAAAATTGATACGAAAATTAACAGAATTACTTCTGTTAACCCCGTCTAATTATGAAAATTAAATTTTGTCGATTTTATCGAATCTTTACGAATAACGGTAATTTGAATTTTAACCGAGTTTTTCAGTAATTCCTAAGAGGAAGAGGTGACAATTGGCTTCTTCCTCTTTTATTTCTATCTCTATCTCTATCTTTATCTGTCTCTATCTCTATCTTACGCACATGAAATCGGCCAATCAGGAGCTGGTTCACGTTTGACAGAAAAGTGGTTCATTTTCGCCCCCGTATTGTCACCTCTTCTCTTAGAGTAATTCAAAAACCCAGTAAAAAATACTGACTCCTGTAAAAAATCTAAGTGTGCATGTTGTTCTTGATATGTGAAAACCCACACCCACACACCGCAGAAAAGGGCAATAAATGTTTTAGGAAATGTGAATATTCCTGCGTTTGCATACTTTGTCCGCGTAGCCCCTCCGAATACCCAGTAACATGCCGGCCCTGCGACACAGTTCAGGGGTCTCATGCTACTGAGCTTGTTAGCCGGGAGTGTTTGGTCATGCCATAGTCACAACTTCCATAATTGATTTCTTGCATACGATCATTCAATCACACAAAGCAATACCAGACGAAAATCCTCAATGTACTGGTAATGTTGATTTGATTGAATGAGTTTTTGTTTGCCATAAATTGACAATCGAAGTGAGAAGAGTTGACTGCGGATCATCGAGCTCGACCTGTACCCCTATACCTAAGCATGATTTATATCATCTTTGTTTAAATGCATTTGGAAATCTCTGTACTTATTATCTAGTTCGTTAATTTGGAAGGCTCAATCGTGTTAGCTATACGGAGCCGATAATCTATTGTTAATTGTTTTTAAGAAAGCTCATTTATATTTATGTCTAGAAGGAGTTGGGTCGGTGCTATCAAGGCCAATTCTCTAACTGAAATACATGCCAAATGTCATACCAACATTTCAGATAGCGTTCGTTGCGTGTGAACATCAGAGCGTAAGGTAAAACGTATACCTTCATTAATTTTTCAGCCTTGCTAAATAACCCCGTTGCGATGGAATCACCGACGAACCGACATTCCACAGGAACATTTAGTTTGTCCACAATTCGATTCGTCAAAGGAGCGATTCAATCTGTCAAACGGGCGATCAGATCGAGGTGAGACGCAAACCAAGGCAATATAAATTCTGTGTGTGTTTGTGTCCTTGCTCATGATATGACGCGATCGGATGAGTAGATGGCGGTAGTGTTTAACGTATTTTAAATATGGCGTCTTGGGCAAGAATTTGAATGTAGAATGAATGTATAAGGTGTCTCGTCAGTTCGTCGGTGGTGGAATTCCTATGGTGTCATCACTCTAAAACCCATCAATCAAGATATCGGAATTGTACCAAACAGTTAAACTGTTTTTAGTACAATTAAAAAAAATATCAGAGTACACACTCAATCTAGCTCGGTAAAATCTCCAACAGCCAGTTAGCTCAGCATTTGCTTTTGCTGATATCTCTGCAAAATATCTGTTAGTTAGCTGAGATATCAGAAAAAAATCTAATTGGTTAGCTGGGTCTCGGCAATTGTTTTACTGAATCTCAGCTTAATAAATTGCAGAACTACTCGGCGGTTGAAATGTCGGCACAAAAATTTAAGTGTGTAAACTATTATTCGAACCAATTGACTAGAACGCGACTAATGCAATCTAGAACCATGTGACATGACGTCACAGAGCTATAGCCTACAACATTGTGAAACATTATCAATACTTCATCGCCTATGTACCGCGCGATAAACGGAACCGATAGCAGCGAGCTATCCTGCACCAACAATCGGTAAAACCCTCTAGTAAAAGTATGGACGACTGTCACCATAGAACTGAAAAAAAAAGCTGTTCCAATTGAAGAAACCAGTGCAATTTGGAACAGCTTTCGGCAGACGTCGAAACTTTTACGAGAAGGCTTGACCAATCGGCCGGTTTGAATCAAAACAAAAGTTTAATGATTTAAAAATAACATACACGTTGGACTGAGCGAGACAAAGACAACCTAGGTAGGTAGGTAGGTATTCGAATCGCGTTTCGTTATGTTTGTTTGGCTTTAATTTGACCTTCCCCCGCCGGCCGGCTCCAACCGAGAGAGATATTATTTCGCCTCTTTCTGTCCCTATATCAAGAATGGAGCCCTTCGTGGCTTCCGATGACTCACGATGGCACTCCAGGAATTTGCTAATGCATAGCTACAACTACTCACTCACCTTCCTCGCTGAGTCCCACGTCGTGCCAGCCGCAGAAGAGGTTCATCTTGTTCCACTCGCTCTCGCCATGGCGTATGAAGACCACGCTGTACTTCTTGGCCATTTCGCTTGCAATGTTTCTTTCTCAGAAGCAATTTCACGCCGCGTTGTAGGCTACTCGTTTCGTGTCCGGGAGAACGCCTTGACTCCGATGTTGTGCTCTTCTATGCCACGGTTCGTTCAACTGTTGTGGATCATTTTCTAACAACTCGCCTACAAATAACAAGCGCGATTCACGAAATCAGTCACCGATTAGCGTTCACTTTTGAGTTAAAATCGCACACAGAAACACTATGGGTATCAGGAATATTCATTCATTCCACCACAACGCTCAACACAGCAATGGTCAGTGTTTGGAAAAAAAAATCTTCTAGAGCACAGCCTCGATCCTCGATCGTAATATAATTTCGACCCGCATAGACTCGATCGCGCGAACGAACTGAATGCGTCGCACCGGAATCGAGTGGCTATAAAAACAAACCGCCCGCGCGTCGCCGCTCTTGCTGATCGTGATTCCACCGGTACGGCGGCGGCGCGCGGCTTGCGAGTGTGTATGTACTGCACACGTTGCAGAGCGCATACCATGAGCAAGAAAACAGTAATAAGAGTAGTTCCACGCCAAATAAATAAAAATTAATTTTTGATTCAACCTCCGGTTTGCATGAAACCTTGCATAATTATTGTTTGTTATGGGCAATCGATCACGTACGTTTGTGCTGAAATTCAGCCATTTTGCATCTTGCATTTATTTTTAAAATAGCGTATTCGGCATTGTTCAATAAATTGGGTTGATTAACTTCGAAAAATCCACCGGTGTTTATACATCATCTGAAAGAGCTTCGTTTTCTGAGCACAGCGATATTTTTATCGATCCTTTAAATATTTTTGTCGATTTTTAAATCAAGATTTTTTTTACGTAGACTACGTCTTACGATAAGGTACTGGGGGTAAATCGAAAATCTAAAATTGCAACCGTCACGAAAAGGTGTAAGGTTTTGAACGCTTATAACTTTGTCATTTATAGATGAAATTAAAATCCAAAGACACCAATCGATAGGAAATAACTCTCACAATCTGCTGCAATGAATGATTTTTCAATTTTCCTTGAAATAAACGTACTCCCCAAACCATTTGGTTGCGTATCGTTTTGCTTAAACCTGTAAAACTATATAAGAGCTCTGCTGTCGTTCTTCCGCTCATTAAAGCTTCGGACGGCGTTGCACCTCTGCCTCTGCTGAACATTGCCGTAGTCGGGCTAGAGCGCTGTTGTTATGAATCCGCTCATTTTCGCATCGGACGGACTGACAAGGAAAACACGGCTGATAAAAATAACTTATTTTTTGGGAACTTTACTATCCCACAACATTTATGGCGGAAAGGAATGCATTTGTTTTAGAGAACATTTTTTATTAAATAATTCCAAGAAAAAATACTCCAGAAATCGAAAAACTCTCACGTTAGTGCTTTTAATAAAAATTCAACTGCTAGAAGGACAATATATAACAAGTGATTATCGAGGTCATTATGGAGTCCAAGATGGTGGCCATCGGGGTCAGGAAAAGTCTCAAATACCCTACAATATGGGTATTTTCGGAACGGGGACGACGCAAAGGTGTCGAGAATCGATATCCCCCAAGCATCATTGCAAGTTTAATCGAGGTTTTATAGCATTCTACAAGTATAAATCATGCTCTACAGAACCCTTAAAAAACCAGAAATGTTACTTGGGCCAACGCTATTTTGGAATCCAAACTGGCGCGCCATCGGGTTTCAGAAAAAGTGTCAAATACCCTACAATAGGATATTTTCCTCGATATTTTCGGAACGAGGATGGCACGTTGATGCTGAAAATCGATACCCGGCGCCATTTTGGAATTCAAAATAGTGAAAATTGGTTTTCGGAAGTGTCAAATACCCTAAGGTATGGGTATTTTAGGAACGGGAACAACGCGTAGATGTCAAAAATCGATATCCAACGCTATGTTGGAATCCAATATGGTGGCCATCAGGATTCAGAAAGTGTCAAATACCCTACAATATACGTATTTTCGGAACGGGGACGACGCGTAGAAGCCAAAAGCCGATATTCGACGCCATTTTGGAATCCAAGACAGTGGCCATCAAGTTTCATAAAACGTGTCAAATACCCTAAGATATGAGTATTTTCGGAAAAGGGACAACGCGTGGATACCGAAAATAGATATCCGACGCTATGTTGGACTCCAATTTGGCACCATCGGGTTTCAGAAAAAAGTGTCAAATACCCTACAATATGGTTATTCTCGGAACGCGGACAACGTGTAGGTGCCGAAAATCGATATCCGATGCCATTTTGTAATCAAATATGGGGGCCATCAGGTTTCAGTGTCAAATCAGTCAAGTGTTAAATACCCTAATATCAGGGTATTTTCGGAACGGAGACCTTTCCAATTCCCACGACGCGTAGATGCTGAAAATCGATATTCGATACCATTTGCAGGCCATTTGACACTTCTTCTGAAATCGGAAGCCACCATCTTGAATTTCAAAATGGCGTCGGACATTGATTTTTGGCTTCTAGATGTCACCCCGATTCCAATAAACCCACATTGATCGGTATTTGACAGTATTTCACAGTTTCTCTGGATTGGATTGGATTTGGATCTTGGATTTAAAAATGGCGTCGGATATCGATTTCCGGCCTCGAGACCTCGCTTTAGACGCCATCCCGATTCCAAAAATATCTATATTGATGGGTATTTGACAATATTTCCCATTTGTTCTGAAATCGGAAGCCGCCATTTTGGATTTCTAAATGGCATCGCATATCAATTTTCGATCTGTAGACTTCATACTGATTACAAAAATGTCAATATTGATGTGATGTCTGTATTTCCAGTTTTTCTTAAGTTGACATCATCCCGATTCCAAAAATACCTTTATTAATAGGTATTTGACAGTATTTCCCACTTTTTATTGAATTGAAAGCCGCCATCTTACATTTAAAAATGGCGTCGCATATCAATCTCTAGACGTCACCCCGAGTCAAAAAATACCCATATTGATGGGTAAACACCACCCGATAATGATAAATTTGACATCCACGTGCACAGATCTATGCGCATACGCATACGCATGCGAGTAAACAATCACGCTTCAATGCAAAAGTAAGTTCATTTGAAAGAAGAAATGAACACGAGTCAAGCCAAAACAAACAGCATGAAAACTGATCGAAAGTGGTTCTGTTGATGTTGACGGGGATCTGCTCGAAGAGAAGACAGTATGACTTTCAATTGAAAGTGATGGTTTACAGCTTCATCGTCACTTGATGATTTTCGATTGAAAGTGACTTTGTGGGGCCCTGATGGCGTCTGTCAAAATCAGGGTTGTTAACGGGATAGCCTTGCCGGTTAAGAAACAGTATAACCAAGCCGGAGGCGGCTAGTTCGATTGTTGCAGGGTGTCGACTGCCTGAAGAATCAGGGAATCTTAGGGAATTTCTTTAAAAATCAAGGAAACAAATACTTAATCCTCTCTGAAAAGTAATACTGATCTCACTAGACTCATACAATTTCATTACTCGGTGTAGTTTTAGGGTGTTTGTAAATTAATAAAATCTTCAATAGAATTGTAAGCTTGTGGGCAAAGCTGGTAAATATCACGGCCGTCATGTGACGATGAGAAAACAGGTCCTCTCACTATCACGAGATTTCTTGTCATTTTCCAATGATCTAGCATTCATGAGAATAATTGCCTTACGGCTGTGACATCAACATTTCTAACTGGTTTAGATGAATTTTCTCATCCTTTTAGATAATCTGTAAATATTGCGTGAGATCTTTCATTGAAAATGACAATTTCCAGCCCTGCTTGTGGGTGCTCAAATTAATAATTTTAAGAACAAAACAAAGAACATAGTCTTCTCCAGCTGCACATGTATTGTATACAAATTACAGATGCATTACTGTAAGAACTGTCAAAATCCTATGAATTTACACGCTAGTGTTCGTGAGATTCTGCTTGGCGAACTGAATTTTGATGATTTTGGGCCGTCCCTGTGTTGAAGTGGGATCCAGAGGGACGGTGCTTAGTTCGGTCCAACAAAAAATAAACTTCTGAAAATGGGTTGGAGCGTCTTTGTGTAAATGCAAGAATGGCAAAAAGTTCAACGATATATTTCTGAATACTTGTAGTTCAAGTTCCTCATTATGTGCTTAAGAGGACGATACATTCGGAGATTAACCTTTCCAAAGAACATTTAGAATTATGATCCTGCTTCAATGGACGAATTTTTGATTGCTTGAAGTAGCAGATTATGATTATATATTGAATTCAGGGTCACATGGACCAAACTTTCTAATTTTGCGAAAACACAACTCTGAATATCAAATTTTCGATTAAGCTGATGGAAAGAAAGTGGGGGGGGGGGGGGGGGGCAATCCCAAGTAACCGACAAGCCTGCTTAGTAATTATTCGACTAATAATTCGCCAAAGCCAACATACGACTAAGCTTTATATAACAAAATCAATCCAAAATAGCGGGCTTATTGGTTACCTCCCAAGTAACAATTTGGGTTTTATGACGGTACTGTAGACCACGATTTAGGCTTGTAGAGTGTTTTAAAACCTCAATAAAACTTGCAATGTTACTTGGGCTGGGATGTGCAATACGTGCTTGTGAACGATTTCCCACCCGAGGTATCCCACTGCGATCAAGCGTTTGGTTAAATGTGTTACCCATAACAAATGTTCAACGGAGATGGGATGGGCATTGAAGTGTGCACGGGGAATACATTTTATAACGGGGAATTAAAGACAAGTGTTTCATATGTGGAAATATTCCTAATGGAAAGTCCAGAAACAGTCAGAAAAATAACTAATAAGGGTGATGAAATTGACATGTCAAGGAGAGGAAATGAAGTAAATTGAGGAATAATTTACTTCTACTGTATTTCAAATCAATATGAAGAAAAATGCACGAGAAGTTCACTAAACATCTCAACGTAGTCTACGTCAACCAAGCGGTCGTATCTTGTACACAACCCCACCATTTTTATTTTAGACAGCTCACTCCCATACATAGTCTCACGGAGTGGCGCGAAGATGATGATTATGGTCCCACCTCTTACACCTACAAAGGTTTGAGCTGAAAGATTTTTTAACCAGATTAGCAAACAAAATCGAACTGGTTATAGTTACAGATATAAATTCCCTCTAGAGTTTACAGTTCCTTCACAGCGATATAAATGTGAAAAAGCTCAGGCGTCCACCTCTTAGAGCAACCGTACCAGTCGTTGCAATTTGCGGCACTATTTTACTAACGCACTGCGTTTCTATCTTGGCTTAATCACTCCTCTCCACACCGGTCGTTGCTAGCAGAGTCACTTGATCAAGTCGTACGAGGTGGACAGTCCACTGTCTAATGGTTGTGCCTGCAACAATGAGTGGTTTCCTTTACATACATACATTAGGGATCGCGACCAGACGGCTGCGGACCGCATAAATAATGAGGAGATAACAACGACAATGAAGGTGAGTGCAGTGGACCGAGAATCTATTCGGTCGGAAGGCTTGCGTCATCCATTCAGACGGTGGAGGGGGGTTTGACAAAATCAGTTGCGGAACTTCTATCGTGACAAGGGCATCAAACCGCAGTTTACGACGCCGTACACTCCCCAATCTAACGGTGTAGCAGAGCGGAAGAACAGGTCCATCACGGAAATGGCGACTTGCATGCTACTGGACTCCGGACTTTACAAGCGCTACTAGGGTGAAGCTGTTTTGACCGATAGGTACATACAGAACCGCCACACGCAGGTACATATTCGGCAATGAGTCCGGCGTCCGTCGTTATTAGCAGGGACGCCCGTTTCATAGAGCTTGGGGTCGTCGTCTGTTGAATTCCCAATTTCGAAGACGGCGAGGACCAAGCAGAATAAGAAATCAAACTAATCCCGTTCAAAGAAGAGACCGATTTCGAGGACGAGCTAAGTGAACAGGAATCAGATGCAAAAGAAGAATGCACCACCTCGGACCCCGAGCTAGATGAGGATTAAGGTAGAATTCGCCGATCAGCATGGCAGAATCGAGCGGCTCCGAAGGACCTTGAAGATTACCGGTAGGAGTACGCCGTTGGGATAGTGGCATTTGCCGTTGAAGAACCTGAAGATCATAAGGAAGCGTTGAAGGATGCGGAGTGGCGGAAAGCGATGAAGGACTTGAGATTTGGTGTCATTACCACAAGGGTCGTCGCTCAGGGCTACAGTCAACAGGGTGGTGTAGGTTTCGACCAAGTTTTTACACCGAACACCCGTCAAGCTACATTGCGATTGTTCCTCACCGTCGCGGCCAAGCAGCCGTTCAGCACGTTGATTCAAGACGGGATTATTGAAGAGGAGTTCTACATGCGACAATCTCCCAGTTTTGTAGCTCCGGGTCAGGAAGAGTACGTCTGTCGGCTGAGGCGTTGACGTAAGAGATAGAGTAAAGTTCTGACCAAACTAGGATTCAAGCCTACTTACGTCAACCAGTGTTTTTTTTCAAAAAGAGTAAAAATGGCGTACGTGTGTTCTTGTTGGTCAACGTGGATGACATTCTTCTGGCCGCAGCAGGCGAAGCAGAAGTGAAGAAAGTGTTAAACGATTTGGGAAAGGAGTTTGACGTTCCTTGGCAAGATCCGACAGTGCAAGAGCAGTGAACCATTTGAAGACGCCAAGAGACCATCTGGTTCTCCGAAGCCCAACTACAAGCGAAATTGCATTAATCTACAACCAAGGAAGACAACCAGGGGTGTATTGTCTTCGGTAAGACTGAAAGAACGAGCAAACGATCCAAGCATATAAGCACACACTTAGATTATTTTACCGAAATCTGTCAGTATTAGCTTGACCACGGTTCAGTACAGTCGCTGTTTTTAATTCGCTTGTGTTCAATTAAATACCCTCGAGTGGTGTCACATTACACGCGCGGCCGAACGGCCAAAGTGATAAGTCATCAAATCGCGAGTGTCAATAAACCCGGTGTGCAATTTGCTCACTTAACGCAGTGGTTTAAATTTACCAGATGAATAATTCTAGTTTCCCCCGGCTGGGGGAAACCTCTGGTGGAGGAGGTGGAAAGATTTTAGTTATGGAAAGGGGAGAGGAGGGTAAATCCTTCCACGGAGTCTCTCCGATTCTCGTCGATAAAACAATTAAAGCTTACTGCGGGGAAGTAGCAAGCGCAAAAAAAAAAAAAAAAACGAAAGACGGGAAAATTATCGTCCACGTTAAAAGTGAAAGCCAGGCCAGAAACCTGGCTAAAATCGAAAAGCTGGCTCAAGGAATTTTCACCAAAGTGTACGAGCACAAAACTCTTAAATCGTGCAAAGTAGTGGTTTTTTGCCAGGACATAAAGTTTGACAGTGACCAAGACTTACTCGAAGACCTATCGAAAACAGGAATAGCTGAAGTTCGGCAGATTATGAAAGGACGCGATGAGAACAAAACTCCCACTGGAATTTTTGTCCTCATTGTCAAGGGTACGGTTCCACCTAAAGAAGTAAAAATTGGGTACATTCTGTTGGAAACAAGACCGTGGTATCCGAACCCTTTGAGGTGCTTCGTGTGCTATAAGTTCGGGCATATCGAAAAAAACTGTAACAGTGAAAAAAAGTGTAACAAATGCGGTGAGGCATTCCATGAAATCACTCATCCCACTGCGACCTAGCAAGAAGTACAGTCGACTTGTTTCGCGCTCCGGTATTTCGGAAGTTTTCTCGGTATTCGGTTGGTTTAAATTATCAGTTTTTTCTCGCTTAGTGATTACTGGCATAGTACCCGGCTAAACAATTATCTGAAAGTGAGTTTTTCTGAGAAGAAAGTGGTTTTCGGCGCCATCGGAAAGAAAATTGTTCACTTGCAATTGCATATTCGCAAACCAATTTGCGCTTCATCGGTGCGTGATCACGCATACCTGCACACAGATCATCGTCATCGAGTGTCAGCATCTGCCTCCGCATTTATACCGGTCATCCATCATCGTGTGTCCAGCTGAGTGCCGAGCCTAATACAAGCACACCACTACAAAGATCGCCCGCACACGCGTATCGAAGGTCACCCACGCTGCGCGTCGCTCCGCTGCTGCTGTGTAATCACTCGGTGGTAGTAGTATAGCAGATAAGTTTTTTTTTCCTGTTTCTTTCTTTCTCTCGCCCATCAGTTAAATTTAATTTTGTGTTTCTGTGTTTGTAGTTTTTTTCTGTTTATTGTGTCTGTGTGGTTTTAAGCATCGTTTCAGTGGTAGAGCGTTTACCGCTCCCACTAGTACGGCAAAATGGACGTCTCGTCAGAAGACGATATGGACATTTTGTCGGAAGATGACACCAGTTTGCCACTCGATGGCAAGAAAAGACGAAAACGTCCTGTCATTCATGGTTCGTCTCAGAAAAGCCCCCGATCGCGAGCCTATCCAGATGACTCGACTGGGCCATGGGTTGTCTACTTTCAGCCCAAAAACAAACCTTTGAACTTGATGCAAATTTCCACTGATCTGACGAAGCGATACTCAGCCGTGACCGAAATCACGAAGGTTAGGCATAATAAACTTCGTGTTGTCGTTTCTAACCTGAAGCAGGCTAACGAGATTGCTGCCTCCCAGCTCTTTACGATTGAGTACAGGGTTTACATACCAGCTCGTGATGTGGAGATCGAAGGTGTGGTCACCGAAGCGAGTCTGACCCCCGAGATCTTGGAGAAGCAGGCGGTTGGCCGTTTCAAGAACCCCTTGCTCCCCCCGGTGAAGATACTGGATGTCCAAAAACTGGGCTCAGTATCTGTCAGCGAGGGTAAAAAGAGTTTTACCCCCACAGACTCGTTCCGTGTGACCTTTTCTGGTTCAGCCCTTCCTCACTACATCGAGCTGGGAAAACTTCGACTACCTGTGCGCTTGTTCGTTCCCCGGGTCATGAACTGCCAAAACTGTAAGCAGTTGGGACATACGGCGTCCCACTGTGGCAGCAAGGCACGCTGTTCCAAATGCGGGGAGAAGCACGAGGATGGCGCCTGCACAGTCACTGCACCAAAATGCGTGTACTGTAAGGGAACTCCTCATGGTCTCTCATCATGCCCGGTGTACAAACAACGCGGGGAAAAACTAGAGCGCTCTCTTAAAGAACGTTCCAGGCGGTCTTTTGCAGAAATGCTTAAGACAGCCAAGCCATCGACCAACGAAACAAATCCCTTCGCTCTTTTGTCAGATGACGAGTCTGGCTCTGACTTGGCTGAGGAGGGAGTTTCTTTCAGTTTTCCGGAAGGTTCTGCCCGGAAACGAAAACGCATCCGTTCGCGGAAAGTTGCAGATCAAGAACCCCAAATCAGCTTGCCCAAATCAAGGAGTGGTGGAAAAAAGGAGACTTTTACTCCTCCTGGATTCCGCAGAACTGATTATACCCAGGATTTTCCACCTCTCCCGGGGACATCCAAAACCCCCGATGCCCCAATTTTCAGAACACAAGCCCCTTCTTCATCTGGGTTGTTCTCATTTGATAACATTGTGGACAGTATCCTCAATTACCTCGATATTTCTGATCCTCTGAAAAGCATTGTTCTGGCAATGCTTCCTACTGTGAAAACCCTCTTGAAGCAGTTGACATTGAAGTGGCCCCTCCTTGCAGCAATCATCTCCTTCGATGGATAATTTTCCAAACGAGGTCGGGGATTTGATCACTGTTCTACAGTGGAATTGTCGAAGTCTTATTCCTAAGATAGAATCATTTAAGTTTTTGGTTCACAATAACGATTGTGATGCATTTGCTCTGTGTGAAACTTGGCTCTCTTCAGATATCGATCTTCCTTTTCATGATTTTAACATTATTCGACTGGATCGTGAGGATTCGCGTGGAGGAGGAGTACTTTTGGGGATCAAAAAGTGCCATTCCTTCTATAGAGTGAATCTTCCACAATTTCCAGGTATTGAAGTTGTCGCATGTCAGGCTTTTGTTAAAGGCAAGAGCCTTTGTATTGCTTCTGTGTATATTCCTCCCCGAGTTTCGATTAGTCAAAAACAACTTTCAGATATCTGTTCAGTTCTTCCTACTCCACGGTTGATTATGGGAGATTTTAATTCCCACGGTACAGGCTGGGGGGAACTGTATGATGACAACCGTTCTACTTTGATATATGACCTCTGTGATAACTTCAATATGACAATTCTTAACAATGGAGAAGTAACACGTCTGGCTGGTCCATCCTCAAATGGAAGTAGATTAGACCTCACACTTTGCTCTAATTCATTATCGTTGGATTGCACGTGGAATGTGATCCAGGATCCCCACGGTAGTGATCACTTGCCGATCAAAATTTCGATTGCCAGTGGGTTCAATTCGTCGGAATCCGTTAACGTCGCGTACGACCTCACCCGTAATATCGATTGGACAACGTTCAAGACCGCGATAGATGAAGCCGTGTCGTCGGTAGAAGAGCTTCCACCGTTGGAGGAATATAACTTCCTCTCCAATCTGATCTTGGACAGCGCGCTTCGAGCTCAAACTCGGCCGGTTCCAGGAACGTCTTTTCGTAGGAAACCTCCTACCCCTTGGTGGGACCAGCAATGCACTGAGGTTTATCGTAAAAAGTCCGACGCGTTTAAGCTTTTCCGGAAACGCGGAACACCCGAGTATTTCGAAGCGTACTCGACTCTTGAACACGAACTCAAGAGCCTCATCAAAGCCAAGAAACGCGGATACTGGCGGCAATTCGTGGACGGTTTATCGCGCGAAACGTCGATGAATACGCTTTGGAACACGGCGCGAAGGATGCGTAACCGGTCTTCAAACAACGAGAGCGAGGAGTACTCGGATCGGTGGATTCTCAAGTTCGCGCGAAAAGTATGTCCTGATTCCGTGCCGGCACAGATGATTCCTCGCGAAACGACGAATTCGGTAGACGAGATCAGCCAGCCTTTTTCAATGCTAGAGCTCTCACTCGCGCTCCTTTCGTGTCGCAATTCGGCTCCGGGGGCTGATAGGATCAAGTTCGACTTGTTGAAGAACCTCCCAGACGTCGCTAAGAGGCGCATGTTGAACTTGTTTTGTCAGTTCCTGGAGTTTAATATTGTTCCAGATGATTGGAGGCGAGTGAGAGTTATAGCCATTAAAAAGCCTGGAAAACCCGCGTCAGATCATAACTCGTATCGTCCCATCGCGATGTTATCGTGCATTCGAAAATTGTTGGAGAAAATGATCCTTTTTCGCCTCGACAAATGGGTTGAGACGAACCACCTACTCTCAGATACTCAATTTGGATTCCGTAGGGGTAAGGGAACGAACGACTGTCTCGCGTTGCTTTCCACAGAAATCCAGTTGGCTTTTGCTAAAAAAGAGCAAATGGCTTCTGTGTTCTTGGATATTAAGGGGGCTTTTGATTCAGTATCGGTTGAAGTCCTTTCAGACAAACTCCACGCTTGTGGTCTTTCCCCATTAATTAATAACTTTTTGTACAATTTGCTGTCAGAGAAACACATGAGCTTTTCTCATGGAAACTCTACAGCTTCTCGATTTAGTTACATGGGTCTCCCCCAGGGCTCATGTTTAAGCCCCCTTTTGTACAATTTCTATGTCAGAGAAATTGACAATTGTCTAAGTGACAACTGCACGTTGAGACAACTTGCAGATGATGGCGTAGTGTCTACGACAGGGCCCAAAGGGGTCAACCTGCAAGGACCCTTACAGGATACCTTAGACAATTTGTCTACTTGGGCTATCCAGCTAGGTATCGAATTCTCCACGGAGAAAACTGAGTTGGTCGTTTTTTCTAGGAAGCATAGCCCAGCACAACCAAAGCTTCAACTTTTGGGTAAACCGTTCACTCATTCCATGTCTTTCAAATATCTTGGGGTCTGGTTCGATTCCAAATGCACCTGGAGATCCCACATTGAGTATCTGAGACGAAAATGCCAACAAAGGATCAATTTTCTCCGAACAATTACCGGAACGTGGTGGGGAGCTCATCCGCAAGATCTTCTAACGTTGTACCGGACAACGATTTTATCGGTTTTAGAGTACGGTAGTTTTTGCTTCCAGTCGGCGGCTAAAACTCACATCATCAAACTGGAACGTATCCAGTATCGTTGTCTTCGTATCGCGTTAGGATGCATGCACTCGACTCATACGATGAGTCTCGAAGTGTTGGCGGGCATGTTGCCACTATCGGATCGGTTTTCGGAATTGTCCCTCAGGCTCCTCACCCGTTGTGAAGTTATGAACCCACTGGTAATCGAAAACTTTGAGAAGCTTCTTGAGCTAAACCCTCAAACTCGTTTTATGTCATTGTACTACGTGTACATAACTCAGGATGTCAGCCCTTCACAGCATAATCCTCATCGTGTATGCTTCTCCGACTTCGGCAATTCAGTTAGTTTTGATTTATCCATGACGCGGGAGATTCGTGGGATCCCAGAACATCATCGTTCCATGATTGTTCCGTCAATTTACGCTGCAAAGTTTGGCCAAGTTGATTCCGCAAGATCGTTCTTCACAGATGGATCATTAATAGAGGCGTCCGCTGGTTTTGGTATTTATAACGAATTTCATAGCGCCTCTCGAATGCTTCAAGCTCCTTGTTCCGTATATGTTGCTGAGCTGGCGGCAATACATTATACGCTAGAAACGATCACCTCACTTGCACCAGATCATTATTTTATTTTTACGGATAGTCTCAGTTCTGTCGAGGCTATTCGATCCATGAGGCCGGTAAAGCACTCCTCGTATTTTCTCATGAAAATACGAGAGCTTCTGAATGCTTTATCTTTAAGATCTTTTGTCATCACCTTTGCATGGGTCCCATCTCATTGCTCGATTCCGGGCAATGAGAAGGCGGACTCACTTGCTAAGGTGGGCGCTATGCAAGGCGATATTTACGATCGACAAATCGCCTACAATGAATTTTTCTTCATTTATCGTCAACAGTCGCTCGCCAGCTGGCAAAATAAATGGAGTGAAGGAAGTTTGGGACGATGGCTATTCTCGATCATCCCTAAGGTGTCGAAGAGTCCTTGGTTCAAGGGGTTGGATGTGGGTCGAGACTTCATTCGTCTGATGTCTCGCCTCATGTCCAATCACTATTCGTTAAACGCTCACTTGTTTCGTGTTGGGCTGGGAGACAGCAATCTCTGTGAATGTGGACAAGGTTACCAAGACGCCGATCACATCCTTTGGTTTTGTGCTGAGTATCGTGGAGTCAGATCTGAGCTGTGCGATTCCCTTCGGGCTCGAGGTAGACAACCTAATGTTCCAGTTCGGGATATTTTGGCTAGACGTGATCTGGAGTTTATGAAACTCATATATGTTTACTTTAAGAATACTAACCTTAGATTGTAAGTTTGATTAACCTTGTGTTTAGTTTGTGTATTGTGCGTGTAGTTTTTTTTTTATGTTTGTCTTCAAGATGAATAGAAATAAGTTCATGTTTTAGGATTAATTAAATATTTGTATAATAAATCATATTTCAAACCTCCTTCTCCCTTTCCCTATCCAAAAAAATGTAAATCTCCACTAACCTCGAGACGACCGCGAGTAATCGGTTCAATTCCTTTAACTCTAGATTTAAGACATGAATCATGTATAATGCAAATGATAACTCGGCTCTGTAAAGTTTATTCGATTGAGCCTGTACAAATAAATTAATAAAAAAAAAAAAAAAAAATTCCATGAAATCTGTGAAAATGCAGAAAAATGTGTTAACTGTGATGATTCTCATGGAGCATTCTTCAAAGGATGCCCAGCATTCAAGAAAGAAGTAGCTATCACCAAAGTGAAAGTGGACAGGAACATTAACTTTTGGGAAGCTAGAAAAATAGTGGAAAGTGAAAATAAAATCACGTACTCAGATTCCATTAAAAGTGCATTAACCAAACAATTTGATGAGAAGATCAAACAATTAAATGAAGAAAAGAAATCCTACGCGGAAACACTAAGGTTAGATCTGCAGAAACAGTTCGAACCAAAAATGAAGGAGATGGAAAATAAGCTCATGGAAATGCAAAATCAGTTCGAACAGGCAGGTAATGCCTACAGAGAAGAAAAACAAAAAAGAAAAACGGCAGAAAAGGAGTTCGAAATTCTCAAAGAGAATTATTCCAAACTGGAGAACACACAGAAACTCTACGGATACAAACCATCAGGAAAACACACCAGGAGCCAAGGCAATCCCAATCCCCCAAGGAAAAAGAAAGGTAACGATTAGATGAAAAAATGTGAAACGGTTGAGTACGTTAACTCAGAATCGGATGTCAGCTCTCAAGAGGGTGGCGATGATGAGATGCAACCCTAAACCCAATAATCGTCATCAAAACAACTAGAATGGATCCAACAGCAAACCGAAAATCAACCGAAATTATTCAATGGAATTGTAATGGCGTCAGAAAACAAGACGCAGAATTACGGATATTGATTAATGAGTACAAGCCATCTCTAATCAGTCTACAAGAAACAAGAACAAACAGGTCAAACGAACACTCAATTCCTGGTTACGATACCTTATTCTGCCACCGTCCTTCAGGACAAGGTGGAGTTGCTATTGCAATCAAACATGGAATAAAATACTCAAAAATTCAACTTAACACAAGTCTTGAAGCAATAGCTATAAAAATCAACCTACCTCGAAAAATGACTCTCTGCAGCATATTTCTGTCACCAAATCAGATTTCAAACGAATGGTTGACGAACATATAAACCAAGCTTGGCAAAACAAATGGTTCATGAACAACAGCAAGCTCAGGCAAATCAAGAACACCATTTCGGAATGGAGCACCTCATACAATAAAGATCGATATGCAAGCCGAATCATAACAAGGCTAAGAATTGGACATACCAAATTAACTCATGGCCACCTTGCAAGAAAAGAAAACCTGGAAATATGTCTATCTTGTGGAATACCAATTACCGTTCAGCATATATTAATCGATTGTCCCCGCTACGACGCAGAAAGAAAAACCAATCACCTGGGCTCCTCTTTACATGAAATACTAGGAGACGATTCCATAGAAAAAAAACAATCAAGTTCTTGAAGGATAGCAAAATCCATACGCCAATATAAACAACCACAATCAACATCGAACCTATGCTGATTCAACACAAAAAGAACGCAACAAAATTCACCACCAAAGAGACCTGTCAGCAAAATGCAATACTTATAAAGCCGACAAATGGCAATCAAGCAACAGTCATATTCAAATCATCCACGGTTCAACTACAGAACAACCATACATCCAGCACTCATACAATGGGAAACGCAGACAGCAAAGATACCACCCAAAATGGTGACCAGAACGTCACCATAATCGAGAATCAAGAAATCCACACGGGATACCTAGAAGACCACAACTGGAAGCTCTCACTTATCTTCGTCATAGTGTCAATCCAGCTAATCATCGGTATCATCAACATACTAAGGAAACAATGGAAGAAAGCAGCACTCAAAGCTGCCAAATCTGCAGCAGTCCTCAACGACCATGACCAGATCCAAGAAGGCAACCGGAAATAGGTTAAGAAGTGATAAATTAAAATACTAATTTTTAAGCTTTAAACTTATCAAATTTATTAAATTTATCAAAAACGACCCGAATGACCAAATCTCGATGAACATTTCAAATGGTCCTATCTGCTTTGATCGATTCTCTTCATCGACTTTCTCTTTTCATAACCACTGCTATGCAAACAGATTTCGCGCTAATTCTACCACATAGTTTGATAAAAGAGGTTCTTATCTAGCGTCCAAAACGTCAAATACAATAGGGAAAGGTTTTGCAGCTGAGTTATTAACGAAAGAGAAAGTCGATGAAGAGAATCGATCAAAGCAGATAGGACCATTTGAAATGTTCATCGAGAAATGGTTAAACGGTCGCTAATAAAGAACAACAACAACAACAACCGAAATCTGTGAAATTTTACCGAAATCTCAACAGCTGAACGTTCGGTAAACAGTTCGGTGATTTTTCACAGATTCCCTGTAATTTTTCAACGAATATCTGTGAAAAATCACAGAAAATCAGTGAAAAATCACAGAAAATCAGTGAAAAATCACCGAACTGTTTACCGAACGTTCAGCTGTTGAGATTTCGGTAAAATTTCACAGATTTCGGTAAAATAATCTTAGTGTGCAGCAGGGAACGGTTCGTGCAAGAACTGTGTGAGTAGAACGAGATAGTGCTCGAGTATTGCCCAACTACTAAGCACAACCCGCGCTTTACTTCTCTTTTCTGAACGAGTTAAAACAAAAAAAATGGAATATTTCTGTCAAAGATGACTTGTAAATTTATTCACCTTTCGATATGTACCGTTGGATTTGATAAAAAGTCACAAATTGTTGAGATATTGTTTAAAATCTAATACTGCTTCTTGATCAAAAATTCGTTCTACAACTTTCAATTCCGTCCTAACGCATTGAAACGCCATTAGATTTTCTTCGTCCTACGGATTTTCCGTAGAAAAAGGCAATTGTTTTGAGAACAATGAGGGTAAATATTCATACAATGCGCTCTAACAGGGTTTATGTTGTAGCTAATGAACTAACGCATCGGAACAAACCTATCATTGATTTTTGCACGGTGAAATCATTGATATTATAGATCTTTTATGATTTATAGAACGGAAATGGGCGATTACGACGAAGTAGCGCTCTACCCTATAGGTGTTATTTCGATACCCACTTTTGGTGATTGAATGACATTAACGGTTAAAAAAAAAATTTCTTTTCAACGAGTTCAGTATTTTATATATTAAAAACATAATGTTTATTATTCAAAAAAAAAAAAAAAAAAAAAAACCAGAGGCGTCGCGTGCCTCATTTGTTTACCTGTGCACCAAACTTTGTTCGTTATAGTTTTCCACCACATATTAGTTTTTGTTGTTTTTTTTCAATGCTCTATGAATTCGAAGGACATATTACTATATTAATCACTACCTAACGTAACATTTGAAGGGCCTATCATGTTGTGTAAACAAACTGTATGTATGGCCCTTATTGCGTTAACCGAAGTAGGAGGAATTGCAAAACTTAACTAATTCTCGTTTTTATCGCAAGGAAGTCGGAGAGTTCTCTTTCGACTGAAGCGTAATGAAGAATATCCGTCAAACACTTCCGAAAACATTTTTTGATACAAAACAGTTTCAAATTCATGAAGTCCCCTGGGTAGCAAACTTGAATTAATCAACTCTTTATTCATCAGAACAACACTATCAGAATGGACCAGGGAAGCTCATAAGTTTGTACAGGCGCACCGGCGCAACCATCAGAGAGATTCGATTGAGAGATTTACAACTGACAAGAGGGTGAGAGCGAGCTTTTGCGCTCTCTTTCTCCATTACTCTCTTTGCCTGCAATCAGATATCCAAGTGCACAGCAAGAAATGCACACTTTAGGCACCCATACATCACAAATCGACAGTAAGCATGCATAAGGGCGTATACGCGATGATCGATTCTCTTCGTCGATTTTCTCTTTTGTTAATAACTCGCTAGATTTAACGTTTCTCGCTGCGTTTGCTGTTGCTTTTGATAGACAATACAACCTGTTACTACTCTGCATTGAACAAATTCTAGAAAAAAATTTCGCTTAGCTGTAGCAATGCAAAGAGAAAATCGATGAAGAGAATCGATCATCGCGTATTCGCCCTTATGCATGCTCACTGTCGAAATGTTCTTCTAATTTAAACTCACACATTCATACCGGTCTGCAAGTATGATACACGTCCAAAGCGTACCACACTGCTGTTTCCGTGTTGCTCCCGTTTGACGCGTGACTGCTAAAAGTTTCAATTACAACTAGTGGTGCAAACTGCCATGTACTGTGGAAAATTTGTGGTATGTTTCAAGAGATGATCTGCTTGGCTTACATCAGGCATTTGACCATTCACAAACTTGCCACCAGCCACCCAAAAAAGCTCGCTTTTAGGTACACTATTTAACGAGTTTTGTCATGGTAGTGATATCGACATGCTTAGAAATCAATGGATTAGGGATTAGGCAGACCATCCGAACTGAATTTAATCCTTTTTGAAGCAAACCAAGGTCGAAGATTCAATTGAGCCACACTATAAAATAGTTTATTCATGGTCACTTGTGGTCTGGAGTAAAGAAGTACAGCTATAATGTGGCCATAAAATCTATAAAAATCTAAACGATTTTTTTTTTGAATTATTTACACCTGTGTCGTGCACAGGTTGCACATGTGGACGCGACGCCACTGAAAAAAACGTCAATGAATATTGGAGAAGGGGCCCTGGTCAGCCGTACGACGCAATTTAGTCGCGATGCTCTCACAAGAGCGCTGGATGGCACTGAAATCATTCTCATTTTTTATTGAACACCCGTTATGCACATAAACATCGAGATATTTTAGATTAAAAAAAAAAATCTTGAAAAAATGGAGCATCTAGCAGGCCGTGACATATATTTCTCGTATAGTAGGCTCCCCAAGGAATGTGTAAAAAAAATAAAAGGGTTAGGTTGCACCTAAGTAGTGCGGAATCAATCGATTTGATTTTGCAAGCTAATTAAAAGATGCTTGCAAATTTTCTCAGGTTTAAAACTTTGTTGCTCTTTCTCAGTTGATTTCCACCAAAAGCTCTGAGTCAGGAGTGCTCGAGCCCGTATGACTCTATCAAAGTTTGTTTACATACATACAGGGTGTCAACTCAATCAAAGGAATCAAATTCCCTGAGTTTTCCAGGTTTTTCCAGGTCGGATGAAAAAAATTCCAGGTGCATACAAATTATTCACATTATTATTTTATCTATTTATCCATCTGGAATCCCTTTTATGTACTTATTGATTTATGTTATTTTCGATTGTTCAAACTTGGGCGTTGGTACTTATAAGTCGGCACAGCAAAAAAGTTATTGCATATTACAGCAGAACAGATACACATAGGTTGTTTAATATATACATTGCCTGCACATGTCGAAAGAACTGTCAATTTAGATTTCAACACAAAACTGTATCAGAAATCAAAAGTAAATACTTCCATCATGAATTACCGGAACATTGCTCTAGTTTCGGCAGACGTATTTGCTTTTATTATTTTAAATAAAATGAGAAAGAGAAGGTGAACTTTGTGGTGCAGGAAATGGTTACTCAGGAGGAACACCGGCAGGGATCTGGCTCATCTTGTCCATCAAGAGCTGCGATATGAAGATGAAAATGGATTTCAAAACTTCGCCACGATGTCGATACCAACTTTAGACA